CATAGTAACACTCTCGGTCAGGCCGTGCAGGAGGAAACTCATGTAGCGGCCTAAAAGCTCCCGCCCCAAATCTCCCAGGATCACTTTGAGGAATCTGCTCTTTGAATCATCCTTCAATGCTTCGTGATTTGGGTTCGAGTGGCTGAGGTATTGAAGGTCATACAGGATCCCAGTCCTTTTCAAAAAGAAGTTGATCCCAGGCTCCATCCTTTGGACAAGCATGTCGATGATGATTGATGATTGATGAAAGTCATGTTTTGACAGCTCTCGCTGAACCAACTGTCGCCGAGCACCGTTTTGGGCAGCATAGTTCTTGTCTTCGTCTAGCAGGTTGCTGACCAACAAATGAAAGTCTGCGTCATTCAGGAGTTGATCAGATTTCAAAGGCCTGTTATCTGCCAGCAATGCATCTACAACTTGGCACAGGTTACTGCTAGGGTTGCCAGCTTCTTTAATGCCAGCCTCGTCAACAGCAAGGATTCTTGGGAGAAGCTGATGCAGGCAACACCCGACCCGTATGTAAGCGGCAGCAGGACCGTAATGCTTCATGCGATACAAGAGTGGCACTGCGTAGCCTCTTGAGAGAAACGGGCATAGTAGGGAAACCATTTTGTTCCAGGCTTCTGAATCAGACTTGCAGCATGGGCCACCAGATTCCGTCTCTGTGAGGCACCAATGAGTGATTGTATCACTGCGGGTATCCCCATTGAGGAATTGCAGAATCTGGCCAAGCAGCTTCTCTTGGACCTTTGCTGGTGCTTGGAAATCTTTGAGAAGCCACGCAGCTCTGCGCTGCCACTCTGACATTTCTGGCGGGTACTGGCTGACTTGGATTCCTGGGCAATGGACTTGTGGGTGAAGCAAACACAGGAGTGGCGGTGGCAACAAATCATTTGCAACAAAAAGTAGACTAAATACGACTAATATTATATATTATATAAATATATTAATTAATATGTCTGCCGTCACATGCCGTTGCAACAAACCTCTGATTTGAAAAAGCAGATGATTCTTATCATCAAGTCCATTAGAATAGGATTGAATCAAAGATATGATATCGACGTCAATGTCGATTTCTATTATTACTACTACTACTACTGCTACTGCTACTTTTACTTACTTTTTAAAGAACACGCAAACATCATCTGAGCAAAGTGGAGTGGCGTTCAAAAACACCAGGCTTCTTGAGCAAGGTTATGAGCTGAGCAGTAAACCTTCGGCGGAAGGAAGAGCATTCGAAAAGGTGGGCAAGCCTGACAAGTGTACACCAAAAGCGCTCAACTCCCAGTACGATGCATTTTCGTGCAAGGCACAACTGGTGGTTTCCGCATTTGTACCTGATAGCCACCACATTCAAGCGCTCACCACGCTCACGCCGTTGGGTCAGGAGGCGCCTCTCAACATTGAAAGCTGCACTATTAGCTTCCAAAGCGTCACCACACATAACCTGGGCAATCCACTTGGCTCCATGAAACCCTTCCAGATCTTGCGACAAACCAAGTCTTTGTAAGCCCTTCCCGATACCGCTTGCTGAAGCCAGCAAGTAAGAAGTATAGGCGGCATGAATGTTTGGAGTGTCTGCCACATGTAGGATTGATGTGGGGCAAGGGAGTGCCAGGCAGTGCCAGCCAGTGTTTGAACTGTCCAATTTTTTCTCGTAGTTGACAATGCAACTCTGGACTTGGTTCATCAGGGTGTAGACCATTGTTCGGTCACCTGGATTGGGCCCTCTCAATCGGGTTGTTGTGTCATCTGGAACTATGGTATTGATAATGTGCTTCACGGGTGTCCCCATGGAGAACAGGTCCTCCAATGTCTTGGCCAGGAAGCACAAAAGACTCCAAACGCAACGTGCTCGTTCTCTCTGAATGGACTTTTGGTTGTCTGGAGCGGAGACATCGTATGGCCGTGACATTGCATATGCATGATGCAGGCGTCCAGTAAGAAATTTGCGCTGCAAAGTCTGAGCAGGTGTCAGTGTTTGCTCATCGTTGGGCCCATTCTTTTGAGCCTTCTTCAATGCCCTGGACACCAAAGAAGCATCCCTTGCCTTCTGTGTCTGTTCCTTCCTTTTTAACTTCTTTTGTAGATCAGCTTGAGTAGGTTCTCTGTCACTGTCACAATCTGTGCTCCTTGAAGCAAAGCATTGGCTCAGAAAGTCACGGCTGGAGCTCATGTGGCACCAATGCCGCTGCCGGTGATATGCGAAAATGCAATGCCCCAATCTCTTTCTCTCTTTGGGTCTTTGTCTTTGGGTTCCTACTTCCTCATCGAACACATTGAAGAGTTTCATACCAATATCATATCTGTTTGCTTTGACTCACGCATGTTCTGCTCGGAGGATTTTTCTAAAATCTGCAATCCCAAAATTGTAAGTTGCCACGTTTGCAGGCCACGAACCACTATATACCTCCGGCCACTACACCCTCGGAGCCAAATCAAAAAACGAGTGGCCAGGTCACAGGTCACAAATCCACCAGAGGAGACTTGAAGGTTTGCGCCAAAGGATGGAGAAGGATCAGGATGCAGCAAATTTATGATGGACTACAGTCTGTACGTATTTGGCCTGCTTACTGTTGATGACCGTTCAAGATCTATTGTTCCAAAAGCATGTGACTCTCTCAGTCACAGTTTTTTTGGACGGGCTACAGTCGACCACCTCATCCCGAGTTCCGAGCCTGGTAGCGACGAAAGAAATCGCTGGTACCTCCCCGTGGAAAAGGTCGAAATATCCCCTCGACCTGTGGCAGGCAAGCATCACTGCATCACTGTACAGTGCAGTTTATCCGGTAGTTTTCCTGGTGCTGGTACTGGATAGTACTTTGCAAAAAGAGAAGTTCAGCTCAACAGGTCACGTCAACAGCCAACAGCAGTTTGTTTGTTTGCATGTCCAGTGATAGCACTATGAAATCGTTCAAGTGCTATTTGATTTGCTTTCTTGCTACAAAAATGGTTGACTGCAATCAAACCTGTCACACCTTAGAACACAAACGCTGAATGCCTTTGGACAATGACAGGGCTTGACTCATGACTCATGAGGTCACTTTAACCGGTTTTTTTAAATACTGTCCAAAGTTCAAGCCCTGCCGCTTATAGTACAAAGCAAATGCAAAACGATTCTGAGGCCTGAAAACGATCTCCAAAATCATGGTCTACCTAGATTGCTTGGCTTTGCTTATCAGTGAAATTGCACATGCGCCATATGCGATCATATTGTCGGACACAAAAAATACACATAACATAACATAACATTCATAGATTTACAGCGTGCACAAACAGGAAAGAAACAACCCTGATTCTGGGTAGGCTGCACCCACGCCGCCCACGCCTGTTCCATCAGCACGCATCCTGGTCTCTTCTTGCCTTGGATAGGAGTTTGCTTGATTGGAATCGGCATCCCTCCGAACCACTGATACATGTGATTCGTTTCTCCTGTATTGATTGAATGTAAGAACGTAAGTCAAGTATTTACTATGTATGCATGCTGTATGCTCCCGTCACCCAAACCTTGATGATATAGACATCGACTCTGGGTGGGGGTGAGTGGGAGGCGTGGAAACACACTCACCTATGTCGCGAGCAAGTTAGCCTGGTCTGGTAGGCTGGTAGGCCCGCAAACTACAAAACGTCTCAACCGCCCATCGCAACTGAGCCAAGTTTCGGACATGCCTGCAACCTGCCAGGAAAGGTTCCGCGTCTGGTTCCAGGAACGGGTTCCAACCAGCAGCCCTTCGTTTGTTGTTGAGGACGCTGTAGGGGCAACATGGTGCTCCGAAAGCAAAAATGTCCTGTCAGAGTCAAGTCCCGTCAAAGGCAAACATTGACAGTAGTAATCGGAAACACGTATCACTTATCACATATTCTTGGTGAGTTATATATCTTGCAGCTGCAACAACTCCTACCACGTTACACAACTATTATGGCGGGTCCATCGATGAAGAGTAGTGGCCATAATAAAGGTCTTGCGTTCTGAGCAAAATTATGAACTGAAAAAATACATTGCCAGTCTGCAGCCCTTAGAAAGCTTGATCACCTAGTCTGTCAGCAAGATACAGAAAAAGAAATCACGCTAGACGCTAGACCTTCTCCACTTTCTCTACAAGATTCAATGAGCCAGTCCTCTGAACCAAGCCCAAGGTGACACTGCTTCTGATGCTGATGACAGTATCCACCAGTGACACCACAGGCGATGTCGTCCATCAGGTGCGTGACTTAGTCCGCGCAAGGAGCGGATGCAGGATGCACAAAAAGACACAGAGTTGAGATGAGGCGACATGTGTCACATGGGTTCATGGTCGATGGCCAAATGTGGCACAGACATGATGACAGACCGGCTGACTATTGATTGATGACGATTGCGCCGCATCCAATGCACTAACTAACACTCTGTGTAGTGACTTGGCATCAAAGCTTCAAACTCTCAACTCAACATTCTGCACACGGCAGGTTGCATCATCCTCTAGAAACTTCCCTGTACGAAACAGAGCTACTTACCTAACTGCATATGAACTGAATGCCACAAGGCTGCCGTCGCCATGGTTCTGTGTGATGAATCGCTTTTTCATCTCATCCTTCTCAAGGGCTGTGGAACTCACGTTAATGCGCACGTTGAACTTGGTCTTCAAGTGCTCGCAAATCTGCTTCCTCGCATCAACTATCCAGGAGGCGTGTCACGCTCACTCAGTCACGAGTCATTAGCAACACTTGGCATCACTTGTTCTGGTGGCCACTCTTTCAGTTTCGTGTCACCACCATTCACTATCTATATAGTCATGACGAGTGTACAATTACAACGCAACATTCAAAACACAAAATATATCATAGACCGACCAGTACAGTCAGCACTGAGCACAGTAGTTATGTAATAAATAATTCTATATTATACACAATATATAAATAGCCTCTCCCAGAGAAGCCCGTCACACTTCTGGAGTGAAAATGCATTCAGGGTCCCAGGGTAGCTCAAAAAAAGCATTGCTTTAACGAGTGCTGTGAAGACGCATCAAATAGCATCCAGTAGCTCCACCAGCACACCCTTCCACCAAATTGATGGTGACAGGCGCATTGCGTTTGACTCGGGACCTGAGCTCGTTGTAATCAAAACGGCAAACCATCCAGCTTACATGGCAAAGCTGTGAACCTGAGACCTGAGAGACTGAGACTTGAATTGCTTGACTGGCTAAGCAAATCCAAACTCCTGCTGAGAAACATATCTTCAACTGCAAGCATCTCGCAGAACTTAGGGACCCAATCCAAGAAGGATGGACGTTCATGAGTGGCGCGTGGTGGGATGGCATACGCATCTGCATCCCTTAGATGACTTGCGACTTCAACGTGTGAAAGCCGAAACCCACCAAAGAAATCCTGGAGGAAGCTTCAACACTGAAGCAGCTGATCAACTCTAGACATTCTCCCATTTGTATTTTGTATTTGGTGATTGGTTCACTGGCCTTTAGGATTCCTTACTTTCCATCAAATCATCCAACATCAAATCTCAGCAAAACGTGAATATAGAAATATTATATAGAGTCGAGTCGTATATAACGGGGGGAATGAAATGATATGATATGATATTATACTGTACTGTATTTTATTTAAACTATAATGTTCAAAAGGTTTGCTAGGCATCACCTAAGCTTCGGCCCGTCTTGCGTACCAACTCCAAACAGCTGGCTCATCAAGGAGTCATCGGAAAGACACTCATCATCTTCATGGCCGAAACTGAATCGCCGCATGAGGGCGTCTACTTGTGTTTCAAAAAAGAAACTAGCCCTTCTTCTATGGCTTGGCACCCCCTGCTAACACTGCCCAGCCCCATGGAGCCAAAATAGCCATGGTGCAGTAACAGCGCATTGATGATGGCGCCCAAATAGTGGTCGTTGAGGTGGAGGTGGCGGAGGGGGGCAAGCTTGCAGTCTTCCTTTTTCTGAGAAGTTCTGGTGGTGGTGCTGGTGGTGGTGGTGGCGGTGGCATCATTCTGTTCATGTCCTGTTCACGTTTTTGCTGCCGCCGTCGTGGGAGTGGTGGCTTTGGTAGAGGTGGTGGCGGTGGTGGTGGAGGATGTGTTTGTTCAGGTGCTGCTGTCTTTTCTTGTTTGCGCACTTTGACCTTGACCCAAACCTTGATTCGCTTCTTGACCTTCTTGATGCTGCTTTTCGCCATGGCTAGTTTCAAATGCACACAAAGTGAAGCTAAACTTAGATTGAAGAGTTTGGGTTGTAAGTTGTAAGTGTTTTTTAGCAGTAGTTGTTGCCAGTTGCTGTACAGTGTGCAGTTGCACTGTTCTGCGCTTTGCTATAGCTTAACTTGTTCGTTCTTGTTGGTATTTCATTGTTTGTCCTGAAAATTGTGGCTGTCCATGACAAGTGGGCTGGTGGCAACACAGATGTTCTTTTCAACTTGCACTACACCGCAAATGCATTTCCTTAGTGAATTTTGGTCCACATCATGACTTCTCCTTCACACACCTGTAAAACAGGAGCTAAAAGAGGATGCAAGAGGGTAAGTTATAAATAGTCTCCAGGGTAAGTTATAAATAGTTTCCCATAGATTGCAAATAGTTCCTGCATACCCCCCCCTCAAAACACAAATGATCAAATAAAGAGGCCACCGCATGTTCTAATATATATATATATACTTGCTTGATTACTTGCTTACTTACTTCTGAAGTTTCTTCAAGTGAAGTTGGATCAATTGCCGGCGCTGGAAACATCGAAGTTAGGTGTCGTTTGGAATCGCCCAGATCGCCATACAACGAAAAAAAACACCAGCGGTGGTAAAACAAGACGTGAAAGAATACCAGAAGACCATCTAAATAGACATATAATAAATGACGTATTATATATATACTGATATAGAAGACCATGTCTCTGGATTGACAGATCAAAAGACCGAAGATTCCAAATTGTTTGTTTGTACATGCCTGTGACCCTCGCTGGCTCGCCTTTGGGGTCGCCGTCCACCTCGCCGGTCCTCCACCTCCCCGGCACCCCGGTCCTCGTCATCCACGCCTTAGCACCTCATCAGGTCACTTCGGATGGCGACTGGGAGCTGGAAGATGTGGTTGTGCCTTGGTTTTGGGGGTTCGACTGGTTGGCCCCAAACACAGTCACTCAGAAATATGTTCTATTTAAATTGGCTGAAACGGATGAGTCAGTGGAGTGACTGGTTGGCTTG